CGACTGGAAAATGAGCTCACCCCAAATGACTTAAATAACCTCGCTAATCTTTTTTTGTAGAATCTCTGAGAGATAATTTTCTGTTCCAACATGTTAAGGATATGCTAGTGGACTAAGAAGGATGTCCCCTACCAACCTCTCGACGTCCCCTTTGAAGCCGACACTACCGACGTACACGCCATCACAATCACACTAAAAGGTATGTCCCTCAATATTGTCAATGCCTATGGCCTGGCACTTGACATTATTAGGGACCTGCCACGCTTTGCCATAAACAGATAAATTGTACCGGGAATTTTCACCCAACACACTCATCATTCTGTCACTTTATGTAAACTGCTGACAAAACCCATGACCCCTCAGGCTTTTACACCCTTAATGCACGAGTCATAAAAGCAAGCATGAACTCCGCATGCTTCCCAGATGGGCGCTGTAAACGCTTCACCTTGCACGGGATGTAAGGGGGTGCCCAATAAACTAGCCCCCTCGGGGGAAATCTAAAAAAAATACAAAATCTACTTTGTTTATATTCAAGTTCAACTGTATATTGTACAAGGAATCTGCATAACTGCATAGTTTTAGTTTATATTGTAGTGGATTTCTCCCCTACAAACGCCGTTTGTCGCTGAGTAGCCGACCCCGCGAATTCCACAGTGTGTGCCTCGTGGTCTGGGTCAACCAGTGCCGCCATACATCACGGAGGTCAACTACTAAGCCACGCCTACACCAACCAGCAAGCAACACCTCATCCTCCTCCGCCTGCCTGGCGGTCCTCGCTCCCGCCGGAGAGCATGGCGACCCACAGGCTGGTCCTCCTCTGAGCACCCTCACCAACCAGCTCTCTCTACATCGCGCTTGTAACCATGCTGCCTTCCCAGCACCAAGCTGCATTGTACATCCAATACAACATGTATACATGAGAGCACATTGTGAGTTTCCTTTCTCCATCCCATCCTGAGTGTGAACCAAGCATCCCATACCCCACAATATACTGTACATTCTTATTCATTTGTATGACACCTTTACTGAATAATTATTATATTTTTGTTATTACTATTAAGTATTAAAAATCATGGAGGAATTTTACTCGGGCCACTTGTTTCGACATGGCCACGTCTAGTAGGTGGCCAACTGGCTGGCCATAAGGTAAATATATATGATTAGGTAAAAATATATATAACATAAATAACAAACAAATATGATTTAATATATAGATAATTAATATAATAAAAATAAATAAGATAATAAAAATAAATGATATAAATAAATAAGATAAACAATAACATATATAATAATAAGGTAAAGGAATGGCGGCAGCCCGGGTAAGTCAATCAGTGTTGCCAAACTTGGAGAATTATCCCCAGATTTAGGGAACCTGAGGCAAATGGGGAATCAACTGTTAATTTGAGGAATTTGGGCAGAGGCAGAATATTTGATGCAGTTACCTGTGGGGTATGAGATGTTTGGTTCACACTCAGGATGGGATGGAGAAAGGAAACTCACAATGTGCTCTCTATATACATGTTGTATTGGATGTACAATGCAGCTTGGTGCTGGGAAGGCAGCATGGTTACAAGCGTGATGTAGAGAGAGCTGGTTGGTGAGGACGCTCAGAGAAGGACAGCTTGTGGGTCGCCATGCTCGCCAGCGGGAGAGAGGACCGCCAGGCAGGCGGAGGAGGAGAGAGGACCGCCAGGCAGGCGGAGGAGGAGAGAGGACCGCCAGGCAGGCGGAGGAGGTGTTGCTGGCTGGTTGGTGTAGGTAGAAGGAGAGAGATCACCACGAGGTCAGGTCTTAAATAGCGGGGGTTGGCGTGGCTTAGTAGTTGACCCCCGCTCCGTGATGTATGGCGGCGCTGGTTGACCTAGACAACGAGGCATACACTGGGGAATTGGTGGGGTCGGCTAGGCAGCGACAAACAGCGTTTGTAGGGGAGAATTCCACTACAATACTCCCCCTTCCCTCCAGGCGGTGTAGGAGACTTGTTGTCTGCAGGGTTGCATAGCACATGTGAGGCAGAACGGGCGGTGCATGCCTCATGTGAGACAACGGCGATGGCGTGGATGAGCCGGTCGCTGGGGACAACTGTCTAGATACACAATATCTGTGGGAGTAGAGAGGGAGAATAAGGGTGTGTGGAGGCGATGAATGTTGTGCTTCCCTCACGGCAGGTACCGAGTCGTCAGATGCGCCTGCTGAGGTGTGTGGGCCTGGGTCAGGAGCAGGGGCTGAGTCAGCAGAAGCGGATGAGGGCTCGTGACAGCAGTTGGGTCCACGACAGCAGCAGGGTGCAGGACATTAGCAGGGAGTACCTGGGGGAGAAAAGAGGGGTGTGTGTGTCCGCACTCAGGAACAGAGGCCGCGTCAGGAGCGGCAGGGGTTACTGCTGGGCCGGGGTCGGCGTCTGAGGCAGGACGGGTGTGCTGGGGTCGGTAGGACGTGGTGCTTGGGGCAGGAAGAGGAGCTGGTGTCTGCTTAGAGTAGCAGAGCTGCTTCTGTGTGGATAAGCCAGTCTTCCATGCTGCTTGAAGACTGGGAGCGTGATCAGTTTCTCCTCCATCCTGTGTGAGTGCGAATCTCCGGGAGTCACCATTTGTGGGGTATGAAATTGTTTGGTTCCGTGGTGTATGGCGGCGCTGGTCGCCATGCTCGCCAGCGGGAGAGAGGACCGCCAGGCAGGCGGAGGAGGAGAGAGGACCGCCAGGCAGGCGGAGGAGGTGTTGCTGGCTGGTTGGTGTAGGTAGAAGGAGAGAGATCACCACGAGGTCAGGTCTTAAATAGCGGGGGTTGGCGTGGCTTAGTAGTTGACCCCCGCTCCGTGATGTATGGCGGCGCTGGTTGACCTAGACCACGAGGCATACACTGGGGAATTGGTGGGGTCGGCTAGGCAGCGACAAACAGCGTTTGTAGGGGAGAATTCCACTACATACCTATCTATTAATTTGAATTCTAGTGCAACAGCAGAAAGGATTTTCTCAGCTGTAAACATCTCAAAACAAAACAGACACAGATTGTCAACAACAACACTAGTTGGGCTGCTCCACTCTATAGATATGTGAGATATAATCCTTGCTTCAATATTTCTGTTGATGTTAGTGAAGAAGATGACTTTATATACGTATAAGGACAGTGACTCTGAGTAACGCAGTGAATGTATGAACACTTAAACGGGTTTTGTTATGAAGTAGCCCAAGAGGAAAGGCATTGATAAGCTTGAAATAATCATAATTTATGAATTCTATGTCTTCATTGAAAATAAACTTTTTTTTTATAGAGTAACTGTACATAGTATAAGGAAACGTGAAGTGATTTAGTTTAACTTATTATTACGGTGACTTTACTGCTGTTATTTGGTAATTTATATTGTGTACGTTGAATTGTTTACACTTACACTTCTATGAATGAAAAACAATTGTCTGAAAAGCAATGGAAGTGATTATATGAATCACTTCCATTGATTTTTATTTCATTGAAGGTGCACTGTATAACACCAGTGTTGTACAGTGCACCTTCACTGTTTTACACCAGTGTTGTACAGTGCACCTTCACTGTATAACACCAGTGTTGCACAGTGCACCTTCACTGTATAACACCAGTGTTGTACAGTGCACTTTCATTGTATAACACCAGTGTTGTACAGTGCACCTTCACTGTATAACTCCAGTGTTGTACAGTGCACCTTCACTGTATAACACCAGTGTTGTACAGTGCACCTTCACTGTATAATACCAGTGTTGTACAGTGCACCTTCACTGTTTAACTCCAGTGTTGTACAGTGCACCTTCACTGTATAACACCAGTGTTGTACAGTGCACTTTCTTGTATAACACCAGTGTTGTACAGTGCACCTTCACTGTATAACACCAGTGTTGTACAGTGCACTTTCTTGTATAACACCAGTGTTGTACAGTGCACTTTCTTGTATAACACCAGTGTTGTACAGTGCACCTTTACTGTATAACTCCAGTGTTGTACAGTGCACCTTCATTGTATAACACCAGTGTTGTACAGTGCACCTTCACTGTTTAACACCAGTATTGTACAGTGCACCTTCACTGTATAACACTGGTGTTGTACAGTGCACTTTCACTGTATAACAGCAGTGTTGTACAGTGCGCCTTCACTGTATAACTCCAGTGTTGTACAGTGCACCTTCACTGTTTAACACCAGTATTGTACAGTGCATCTTCACTGTATAACACTGGTGCTGTACAGTACATCTTCATTGTTTAACACCAGTGTTGTACAGTGCACCTTCACTGTATAACAGCAGTGTTGTACAGTGCACCTTCACTGTATAACTCCAGTGTTGTACAGTGCACCTTCACTGTTTAACACCAGTATTGTATAGTGCATCTTCACTGTATAACACTGGTGTTGTACAGTACACCTTCACTGTATAACTCCAGTGTTGTACAGTGCACCTTCACTGTATGACACCAGTGTTGTACAGTGCACCTTCACTGTATAACTCCAGTGTTGTACAGTGCACCTTCACTGTATAACACCAGTATTGTACAGTGCATCTTCACTGTATAACACTGGTGTTGTACAGTACACCTTCACTGTATAACACCAGTGTTGTACAGTGCACCTTCACTGTATGACACCAGTGTTGTACAGTGCACCTTCACTGTATAACTCCAGTGTTGTACAGTGCACCTTCACTGTATAACACTGGTGTTGTGCAGTGCATCAAGAGTAAAGCGGGTGATATTTATTATTTTCTATCATTTTCAATCTTCCAAAACAATCAATCATTATTTCCCTCTGGTTATATGTATAGAGTCACTATACACAATAAGAAATGTTTTATTTTCAATTAATAAATTGTTAACCCATTCTGGTATTTTATAATTTTAGTATATCTTCTTTATCTATTGTATTTCAACTTTTATATTCACTTTCCCATAAGTGGAAGGAAATATGTGGAATGGGAAGTTGGGGTGAAGTTTTGCCTGGAGACTTGGGGTACTTTGGTCGGCACTGGTTGGCAACACTGTAGTCGCCAGCAGTTTGAAGGAAGGTCGAGGGAAAGACTGTTACTATTATTATTGCTAGTTTTAGTGTAGTGTGACGGGTGGTGTGAGATAATGGTGCTGTTGAGGAGTACTGGTGCCTTTTGTGAGTATAAGAGTTTTTTATAACAGGTACATCATTACAACATAGGTTTGGCGATATTAACTGTACACCCGCCGGCAGCCCTACGTTCCCTCTCACTCGCCTCCACTCCCTCACTCTCACCTTCACTCCCACCTCCACGCTCTCACCTTCACTCCCTCACCTCCACTCCCTCACTCTCACCTTCACTCCTACCTCCACGCTCTCACCTTCACTCCCTCACCTTCATTCCCTCACTCTGACCATCACTGTCTCGAAGGTTTATTCTATACTATAACACTTGTTGTTGTCTATGTTAAGTGTTGCCCTATTGTTATTAAAGGTTTTGCCTTCTGACTCACTTAACCTAACCTTAAACAACAGTCTGTCAATACAAATGCTGTACCTGTATCCACTCCTTAATTATTCCACCAACACCGGCACATGATAAAGGCATGTAAAGAACACCATTTTCAATGTAGTTTTCATGGTGATAACGTTGGTGTAATATTTACAGCACAGTTATGACCCTTCCTACTACCCTGTCAGTCTTGACCTCATTTGCAGGGCTTTGAAACAGAGGGAAAATGTGGTATTAATATCCTAACCTAACTTCACCTAACTTAACTTCACCTGGTCATTATACTCACCACCTGTGAAATAGTACAACACTATAGTGCCTAGTGCAGTTTTTCACAACAACTTCGCATATCTAATAAAAGATATTTAGATAAATTTTTACTTTAGGACACGAGTCCCTAGGGGTTCACCAATATGTTTTTCCAGTGTATTTTTGTCAGAAATTGCTCGTTTTTTGCCCCCCCCCCCCAAGCACTAATGGGGAAGAACCTGGGAAATCGGAGGTTTTGGGTGGGACGCGCTATGTCTTTAGTTAGAAGTGGAAGGACCAGGGATAGGTTCAGGGTCATCACTACCTGGTCCAACTAATTACCCAAATGTAGCCGCAATGAAGTCAAATAATGGTCCTACATGAATAAATCGGACTGCCAACCACTTCTCGACTAGTATTTGGTGTCACAAAGTCACAAAAAATTGGAAAACTTAATTTAAACTGAGTTAATAGATCGCTTGCTTGTACCGAGGGAGCGAGTAATTACCCAAATGTACCCAAATGTTGCAATGAAGTCAAATGATGGTCCTACAAGCGTAAATTGGGCTGTGAATCACTTCTCGATTATTATTTGTTGTCATAAAGTCACAAAAAATTGTTAAACTTAATTTAATCCGAGTTGTGTTAGGTTAGGTACATGCACTCGATCTATTAACTCAGATTAAATTAAGTTTACCAATTGCTTGTGACTTCGTGACACCAAATACTAGTCGAGGTTAGGTTAGGTACATGCACTCGATCTATTAACTCAGATTAAATTAAGTTTACCAATTTTTTGTGACTTCGTGACACCAAATACTAGTCGAGAAGTGATTTGCAGTCCGATTTATTCATGTTGGACCATTATTTGACTTCATTGCGGCTACATTTGGGTAATTAGTCGGACCCACTCTACCTCCTTGAACGATTACAGAACCACTGGTTCTTGTCCTTTCTATGTTTACAAGGCAATTTACAGTACGGGCACTCAACAGACGTATGGAGTACACCATGATTTCGTAAGAATTGGATAGAATTATCGTCTTTCTCGTAAAACTTGACAATAAACTTAAAATAATCGTAGGAGCACGAATCACACCCAACCTCCACCATGGCCATTGTCTGACTGGTCATTGAAATTCAAATCCATACCCTGGCTGCTACCTTTGAAAAAATTCAAATGTGATTGGTCGAAAAAAAATTGCGTGATGATATTGATACATCATTGGTCACGAATGGATGATGTCAGTCAATATTGGGCATGCGTGATGCATAATTAACTCGGTTTCACGCATATAACATCTCTTCGCAGACGAAGACTGAAAAGTACATAAAATCAATTAAATTCAATTGTGTCGCTATTATCCATTTCCGCCATGTATATATGGGGTTCAAAATGCTCAGAATAGGGAGATCTAAATGTTTCAGTACAGTCGTTTATAACTTTGGGGTGCTCTACGTCCTAAAGTAAAATAAGTCGGGGAGTAGCTATACAGTACAGTAGGGGGCAGGGAAAAAACACTTTTATTTGAGTTGCAGGCTGCACTTTTCAGGCATCGTTTGTATGGCTGTAACAAACACCTGTGCAAAATTTCATGCCATTTCATGCATACTTACCCTGCCGCATCGCGAACGACTTTTTGTCAACTTTTAGTGTATACCAAAAATTAGGTGTCATTTAATGTTTTCCAGGATAATGATAAATTTTACATGGGTGACATCGATTTAATTCACATGTTATTTTACAGGTACACCGTATAGAAAATCATTACAAGTTCATATTGAAATTCTTTTTTGTGCGGAACCTTGGCATCATTTTCCTAGACAATAATCTTTGCCTAATATATCCATCTCTCGATTCGTATCCCGTCACTTCAGTGCAAGCTTCAGTCATCACTTTTATGCCTCTCTCGACCGCCTGAGTGCTGTTTGGCCACTTGGGCACCACTAATGGTGTCTCAAGAATGTCATTAACCTGTAGATTTGACAGAGAAGCAATGTAAGGAGGCTCAGTCTTGAGTTCATTCCTCCAGTTAATCATGGAATGATAGTTTTTGCTTGCCACTTTAGTTTCGGAGTCACCACCTTTCTCATGTTGACTACAGGAGGCACATCCTCATTCCCATCTCCATCTTTACCCTCCTCATCAGTATAGTTTAACAAATTCTCGTCAACAGCAGCATCAGAATCTTCCTCCTCCTCTTCAGATCTGCCAGTGCATTCTTCCTTTTGCTGATTCTCCTCTCTAATTTTTCTTATCATTGAGACAGCTTTTTCTCTAACAGTCATGTCCTCATCTGCCATAAAATATGGTGCTTTATTATCCTAATTTGTTGTTCCATTACCCTCAAAAACTTGGGTCGACGAATAAACGAGGCATATCATAAATTAATGATTTCTTGGTCAAAAATCAGGGTCGACCTATAAACGAGGTAGAATTATATACGAATATATACGGAGTAAGACACACAAGGAAACATACATTACCAAGTTGAGCCGCCGCCCTCCTCCTTGATTACCTCCAGCTTTTCTTTAGTGGTTTTAACTGCAGGTTTTCATCTTGGTAGTATTTTATTAATGTTCTTAATGTGTTAGGTAGTAAATTGCAGTTCAGTAGTTGTGTACTATTAATCATTAGTTAGGTAGGTTTCTTTGTTGTCTGGGAACTGATTTCATGCTTTAGGGGACAGATATTGAGGTTGTCTTGTCATTGGGGAACTGAACCCTATTTTTCCCACGTATTTTTTTATTCGTTATATGAAAAATTGCTTAACTGTTTCTTCGGGAACCTAACCCATTTGTAGAGTGAGGGATATATACCTATACCCTTTCCTTACTAACCTGGCCCGTAAGCCACGCCCCTCATCTATAGCTACAAATATCTGATTGGTTCCCCCGAGTGTTTTACAGTCCCCCCCCTGTGAAGTGCTAATGCCTTGAAATGATTTGCATTTAGATAGTTCAGATATTAAACATTATTGTAGATAATAACAGGTCTGCTTACCTATTGTGAACATATTTAGTTTAAATATTCTATGAACCAACCGGCTATTAGTATAGAAGAGGGGTGGGGCTTACGGGCCAGGTTAGTGTTGAAATACTATTCAACATGCCCTTCAAATTCGTGGGGGTTATGTTCTCAAAATGGCCGCAAATTGCCAAATCCGCGAGTAACATTTGCTGACCAGGGGAGGTACATATTTACTTGTAAGATCTTGTATTTCGTGAGTACAGTAATATAGACTGGAAAAATTGTGCCAAATTAAAATTGTGCTAAATGCAACTACATAAACTAATGGGAAAAAAAAACAATATAGACTGGCCACTCTATATCAACCTCTGATTTTCCCATTTATAACCTCCAAATGATACAAGTTCGTCCTTTATAGACCTGATTGTGCTTTCTGGGAACTAGCTTTTAGGCCTTCCTCAAGTAACTTAATCACACGCTGCTTATCCTGCATCGAGTAATTGGCAAACTTAACTCCCTTATGATAGTCCCGCTTCTCCTTTTCCTTATTTGGCCACTTAGGTGGGTCTGTCCCACCCCCACCAGCACCAGCAGGCGGTAGAGGCCATTATCTTGACTCGACAGGTGGTAGCACCACCCAAAATAGCACACAGTAGCAGCCCGGGCGGTCGCTAGGATGGCGTGGGATGCAATGCGATAGTTGCGTTCTTGTAAACCTCTTTTACATACACCACCGGCAATTTGATCACCAGAACGCTTCTTGGAAACGTTCTTCTTACCTTGTCTTTCCATATTCATCGCTAACACAACAAAATTGGAGAAAACAGCGAAAATCACGGAGCAATCGACAGAAACCGCGCGATTCAACTGTTCACGTGATGTAAACAGAGAGCTCTGGTGTAAACCGTTATTAGTCCTCGCTGTGAAACATTCTTTTTACTTATTCTTTTCATACAGTATTTATGGGTAACAGCTAAATTTGCAAAAAAAGAACAAAATTTAGTGTCTCAAAAAACACTTCACAAACAAAAGACGTGAATCATTTGAACATGTGATGATGAACATGAACTGTAAACATTGCATAACTCCGCGCCACCCTTAAAACATTGAGGATGGAATCGTGTTATAGCCAACATTCGTCTGCAAAAATTCGCATTATACAAACAGCATTCCCCTATTCATCAATCACGTTACAACCAATTCGCGTTGACAAAATACGTGTTGTAGCAGAAATGACTGTAACTGGTATGAGGGCTGTGACATCATTTAAGATGGTGGCCAGTGTTCAGCTGGCTGGATCACGCGTTCAGCTGGCTGGATCACGCATTCAGCTGGCTGGATCACGCGTTCAGCTGGCTGGATCTCGCATTCAGCTGGCTGGATCACGCGTTCAGCTGGCTGGATCACGCATTCAGCTGGCTGGATCTCGCGTTCAGCTGGCTG